CAGGAATCAACAATCTGCATCGTTTAAACACTTGGTGGTGGTAGTAATCTCTGCACTTCCACTAATGATGTGCTATTGCTTTTGGTTTACTGCCTTGGTAGGGAGATGTTACAGTGGCTTCCACTTGGCCCTTCCTACTCTAATGATCCTTTGTCCATGAATGAGAGCAAGCCAAATCAATATTGGGATACAGCCAGTTGCCAAGTATTTCTTTAACAATTACATACCCTGATAATGTGGGAAAAACATAGGGTGGGTTCATGGACGTACTGAGCCCATTATGATTGGGCTAAGACTCCATTTATCACCTAAGCTGTATAAAGCCCCAGTTTAACTGATGGACTGCCAGCATTTTGGGTCCCTAGAAATTAGCAACAATTCCGCACCAATATCTGAATCCTTTGGCATGTTTGGGAAAAGATTTACAATACTGTCAGCCCACTTTATCTGTGGGTTCTACATTCGCAGATTTAGTCAACTGAGGATAGAAAATACTTTGTTGGGAGTGGGGGACCTCCTAAAAAGTAATTAAGTGGTCAAACCAATCCTTCAAAGGCTAAGAGGGAGTATAAAGGGCTATTTATATATCACTTACATCGTATTAGGGATTATAAGTGAGAGATGATTTAAAGTATATGGGAGGATGTGCCTAGGTTATATACAAATACTGCATCATTTCATATAAGGGACTGGAGCATCCACGGATTTTGGTATCCAAAGGGTTCTGTAACCAATCCCCTGCTGATACCAAGAGATGACTGTGCATACTGCCGTGTATACAGCAGTCGAGAGTTCTTCAAAAGGATCCAGTCTCCCTTAAATGAATGAACTCTAGGTCTGAAAACTGGTTTAGGTCTGGAAACTGGATGAAAGGCCACAACTCTCCTCTGTGGTGACTCAAGTCAGGTTTTTGGCCACCAGATTTGACTTCCTTTTAAATCATTCAACAAATATGTATTGACATATCCTACTCCAAGTCACATTCTTTCTCATCAATATTATAAAGGAAAATCAATGATCTAGTCAGTTCTAAGAGTAAAATTTAATTACAAAAACTACTGGAAGTAGATTCATATCCGATAGTATTGATAAACCTTGTTATACTTTGAAATATCAACTAATGGCCTGATGAAGCCATCTAATGGCAAAAATACTAAAATGTTTTTTTATTATCCTTTAAAACTAGTTTTTCTGTGCACATTTTATAATGTACAGTACTAAATTTTAAAGTAGTTTATAAATATACATATATTATAGGTATACACACTTTTTTTTTTTTTTTACTGGTAAGGATGTATTCTTGGAAACCATTGACCTAAGATCATGAGCAACAGTTTCTAAGCTCAGTCTAGGCATCTAATCTTCTGATCTTATTTCTATTTAGTAAATATATATATCTTCATACACACATTCATTTATACATATATACATACAGAAAGCCATTACGATCTTTCCTAAATTACAGTATTTTTTTCATTTATACCTAAACTAAGAATACTGCAGAAAAGTTAAAGTACAACTAAATGACATGTTTTTAAAACATCTTAAAGAATTCAAATTCTAACAATTCATTCTACCCACCCATGAAAACTATTAATTAAACTTGTCAAATCACAGCCATGTAGCTAGGTGCAAACCAAAATCCACTTCAGGCGAGTCGATTCCTGACCCAAAGGAGTAAGACAGAGTAAGAATTGCACCATATGGTTTCTAAGGCTGTAAATCTTTATGGAAGCAGATTGCCACTCCCTCTCCTGCTGAGTGGCTAGTGGGCTCTAACAGTGACATTTTGATTGGGAGTCGAGTGCTTTAACCACTGCATCACCAAGGCTCCTTTACATAGGTGCAGAGACAAAATTCAATCTAACTCCATGCATACAGAGAAAGAGGAACTCCATAAAGTCAGTAGTTCTGAAATCACTTCTAGTCTTAATTTACATACATCTACTGACGAGGATATCATGCTTGCAAAGTAGAGTCAGTAAAAAAGGGGAAGACCCTCAATGTGATGGGCTGACACTAGCTGCAACAGTGGGGTCAAGCACAGATCGTGAGGCTGCGCAGGGCCGGGCAGTGTTTCATTCCGTTGTACACGGGGTCACTGTGAGTCAGAGCCAACTCAACGGCACCTAACAACTGGGATAGAAGTGGCTATGAGTTCAAAGGAGCTCTGGTGGCATAGTGCCTAAGGCATTTGACTGCTAACCAGAAGCCTGGTGGTTCAAACCCACCAGCCATTCCTCGGAAGGTTGGACAACCTACTTCCATAGAGATAGTGCCTCAGAAACCCAAGGAGCGGTCACTATGAGTCGGATCTGACTTGACGGCAGTGAGTTTTACTTATGGAGTTGAAGGGGTAGAGATACAGAATCCTACCCATGGTCAAATTCAAAAACTTCATTTTGAAGTGTTCATAAAAGTAAGTCTTCAGAAACATCATTTTGCAGACTAGCAAACAGTACAAGGGATTGAAGTACTAAAAAAAGTATAAGCACTCCCTTTTATCTCCAAAAACACTAACAGCTACCCTCTAAAGCAGAGCTTCTCAACACCTTTACCCCAAAACCACAAAATGGATTGTGTTAACATGTGCACACTCCCATGGGTGTATGGAAAAATAAAACAAGAATAGTAAAAAAATAAAAAGTATTACCAGGAATTGTACATTTGGGGAGGTGTGAGACTAATATTCACAAGAGCACTGTGTTAAGAATATGGTGAGATTCTTAAAAAATCCTTTAATCTAACAAAAAATGGTAAATAAAAGTTCTAAGATTTAAAATACACCTTATAAGAATTACGGAAGGAAGGCTGGGCAATCTACTTCTGTAGTGATACTGCCTCAGAAACCCAAGGAGGGGTCGCTATGAGTCGGGACCGACTGGATGGCACACATAACAACATGTAAGAATTACACTTATTTTAAAAATTGATTATCTTAAAATGAGTTGACTTTCCAGCTCTCCAGTCCAGATACTATTAGTAAGCAATCAGATAGCACTGGATAAGCATATACAAGATTTTGTTGAAAAGAACTACAAACTTATGTATTTTAACATGTTGAAAGGATACCATCACTGTACATTCCCCTGCTTTATTGCTTCGTCTACATTTGATTTGCTAACTAACTTGTCATTAATGTTATCCTCACTCAAAGGAACTCACAGATGGACTAGTCACACTTTTTTCAACAGCTTTTATTAAAAATGTTCCTACTATCAATAACTTAAAATGGGAAATTAAATCCACAAACACTACTTGGGCTTGTCAGATAATACAGTCCATTATCCCCATTGTGGTTAGAATGTTAATTCCACTTTCTAGCAAAGCAGCACCTCTGAATTCAACTGAGCATGCCATTTCTGTAGAAATAAATTTGAATTTTCTCAAATCTAAGAAGTCATTTAGTCATTAATAAGAACTTATTCATGATGTACTTCATAACTGATCATGACATAATGAGACAGTTTAAGAACCATTGCTCTAAGACATCATGGAAGCTCCCATCAGGAGCTACTGATCACAGCCCACTTTTGAAACTTCATGCTTGTCTTATAGCACAAAAACATTTTAATTTTGGCCTGATGGGTGATTAAAACAATTAAGGGGGAATTGCTGAAAAAGACAAGTTTGATTATTCAGTTCTTAACTGACCTATAGACCAATTTAAACAGAACACTTCTGCAGTGGAGGATGTCAGAGAGCTCCAGAATTATCTCCAAGAGAAAATATGATGTATCTGATGGCTATGACCAACAAAGACTGTGAAATCCTTTAGTTATTGGAGAATGGTGCCAAGACTAATTCAGATACACATAAACCTCAGCCTCCACAACCCTGAGACCGAACTAGACGGTGCCCGGCTACCACTGCCAACCACTTGTGAGAGATGCCAACAGATCTTGAATAGAATGAGGAAAAAATGTGGAACAAGTTCCAAAATACAAAAAAAAAAAAAAAAAAAAGACCAGGCTTACTGGTCTGATAGAGACTGGTGGAAGCCCTAAGACCATTGCCCTTAGTCACCCTTGAAGCCTGAACTGCACTTCTCCTGTGGCTCAAATTTCAGCCAGACAGACCTATAAGGTGAACAGTAACATCAGGGAGCTATGTATCCCTTACAACCATCAATCATAAGGATCAAAAAGGCAGCATTTGCCCAGGGATAAAGCTCAGAAGGCAAGAGCAGAGAGGAAGAAGGACAAAGGGAAAGGATAACTACAAGGAGAAAGTGGGAAGAGTGCTGCTACGTTGTAGGGATTGCAATCAACACCACAAAACAAAGTGTTAACTGTTGATTGGAAAATCACTTTGCAGTAGAAACTTTCATCCAAATCACAAGTTGTGCGTTTTGTTTCTTTTAAGAAAAAACTAAGTCAGATACTTAAAAATGAGGCCATGATTAACTTCTGAAGTAATAAAAAAAAGTAGGATAAGAAATAAATTTAATCATGGCGTACTACTTTGTTTAGCAGTGAATATTTATAATGAAAATACTGAGTTTGGGATGTATAAACTTAAACATTAACACACTGAGAAAATGGGAAGAGTGTAAGTAAGCAAAGATTTCCATCCTTTCTAGTAGGAAGTCAAAAGATGATGTACGAATCAACAGATAGTATATTTCCATTATTGGAACTATAAAGGTAAATTCTCTAACAGCTGCAAGAGATAAAAGAGGTTCTCTGTGAATGTGGAAGAGGGACTGGCTTTTATTTTCTTTTGGTCACAAGCCTTTTATCACTATTTGATTTTTAAAAACTACATACAATTTTTTTTAAGAGGATAGGGAAAAGGAGATAATAGTTTTACCTTAGAAAAACAATCTCCCAAAACCACTGAGTAAGAAACGCACCTAAACCCATTCACTCTTTTTATCTGACAAATAATTTCAAGCAGAGGCTCACTTACAAAATAAGTTTAGTCTTTTATGGCAAGTACTTCCACGATTTTAAATAAAATTTATTTTTTCACTTGTGAGTTTTTACCCAAAGGAGTCATTATCCTTCTGCATTCTGTTTTTCAGAAAGTACTTTTTTTGAGGTAGATCTATTACGGATTCTTTTCCTTCTTTTTCCAGAAGCAGAAGATGGTTTTGTATCCTGTGTTTTCTTCTTTTTTTTCAAACAGCTGAGAGGATTGGGGCCACTTATTTTCTTGCGCTTCTTTCTTCTTTGTTCAGAGTTTTTCACTAAACCCTGTTCTTCTTTGAGTTGTCTGATACTTTGCTTCTCCTGGCCGGAGACAAGCTCGCCTGCCTGGACTGCCTTTACAAAGGCGATTGTTTTGGGAGAAGGTTTGTCCAAGACCATAGTGTTCTGAATAATAAACATGAGTGGAACTCCAGGCTTTTTCTTTACTTTCACAGACAAATTCTGATCCTTAGAAAGAAAACAAGAAAAAAAACATTCAGTTAAACTGTATCAATTAAAGTTGCTATTGTGGTTGCTATTGTTAGGTGCCATCAAGCTGGTTCCAATCC